AAGGATTTGGCTGTCGGGAATTGTATAGACGTCCTCGGGCATAACACTGTTGTCACTGTGGATGCATAATACAAAGAAAGCTCCAGACCTTTATATAAACCTTACGTTTTTGTAATCTTCTTATTATCTATATATATATATCTATATCCAAGAGTATCCCGAAATGACGGAACATGTTTGTGTTAAACTGGCAGAACATTTTGTTTGTAGACTGAAGTGTAACGTTAAGTAAAGAATCAACTCAGAAACGGAACCCTTAATTAATACAAAATGACAAAGAAAACACTTAAACATCCACAGTCCATTGTTCGTCCTTTAAGAGATTCTGATACTCTTTTCAATAGTTGGTGTCTCCTCTGTTACTGTTGTCCTGCTGTCATTACTAGTGTCACTTATGGTCCTGTTGTTGTTCCGTCAGTAAAACTGTCTCCTTTCCTACTGTTGTCGTTCCCTCAGTATCGATGTCTCCTCTGATACTGTTGTCGTTCCTTCAGTATATATGTCTCCTCTGCTACTGTCGTCGTTTCTTCAGTATCTATGTCTCCTCTGCTACTGTTGTCGTTCATTCATTATCGATGCTTCCTCTGCTACTGTCGTCGTTCCCTCAGTATCGATGCTTCCTCTGCTACTGTTGTCGTTCCTTCAGTCTCTGATACTGTTGTCGTTCCTTCAGTATATATGTCTCCTCTGCTACTGTCGTCGTTTCTTCAGTATCTATGTCTACTCTGCTACTGTTGTCGTTTCTTCAGTATCAATGCTTCCTCTGCTACTGTTGTCGTTCCTTCAGTCTCTGATACTGTTGTCGTTCCTTCAGTATATATGTCTCCTCTGCTACTGTCGTCGTTTCTTCAGTATCTATGTCTCCTCTGCTCCTGTTGTCGTTCCTTCAGTATCTATGTCTCATCTGCTACTGTTGTCGTTTCTTCAGTATCAATGCTTCCTCTGCTACTGTTGTCGTTCCTTCATTATCGATGTCTCTTCTGCTACTATCGTCGTTCCTTTAGTATCTATACCTCCTCTGCTACTGTTGTCGTTCCTTCATTATCTATGTCTCCCCTGCTACTGTTGTCGTTCCTTCAGTATCGAAGTCTCCTCTGCTACTGTTGTCGTTCCTTCACTATCGAAGTCTCCTCTGCTACTGTTGTCGTTCCTTCACTATCTATGTCTCCTCTGCTACTGTTGTCGTTCATTCATTATCGATGCTTCCTCTGCTACTGTCGTCGTTCCCTCAGTATCGATGCTTCCTCTGCTACTGTTGTCGTTACTTCAGTATCTATGTCTCCTCTGCTACTGCTGTCGTTCCCTCAGTATCGATGTCTCTTCTGCTCCTGTCGTCGTTCCCTCAGTATCGATGCTTCCTCTGCTACTGTTGTCGTTACTTCCGTATCTATGTCTCCTCTGCTACTGTTGTCGTTTCTTCAGTATTGATATATGTCTCCTCTGCTACTGTCGTCGTTTCTTCAGTATCTATGTCTCCTCTGCTACTGCTGTCGTTCCCTCAGTATCGATGTCTCTTCTGCTACTATTGTCGTTCCTTCAGTATCTATGTCTCCTCTGCTCCTGTTGTCGTTCCTTCATTATCGATGTCTCTTCTGCTACTATCGTCGTTCCTTTAGTATCTATACCTCCTCTGCTACTGTTGTCGTTCCTTCAGTATCGAAGTCTCCTCTGCTACTGTTGTCGTTCCTTCAGGATCGATGTCTCTTCTGCTATTGTTGTCGTTTCTTCAGTATCTATGTCGCCTCTTCTACTGTTGTCGTTCCTTCATTATCGATGTCTCTTCTGCTACTATCGTCGTTCCTTCAGTATCTATACCTCCTCTGCTACTGTTGTCGTTCCTTCAGTCTCTGATACTGTTGTCGTTCCTTCAGTATATATGTCTCCTCTGCTACCGTCGTCGTTTCTTCAGTATCTATGTCTCCTCTGCTCCTGTTGTCGTTCCTTCAGTATCGATGTCTCCTCTGTTACTGTTGCCGTTCCTTCAGTATTGATGTCTCCTCTGCTACTTTTGTCGTTCCTTCAGTAGCAATGCCTCCCCTGCTATTGTTGTCGTTCCTGCAGTATCGATGTGACCTCTGTTACTGCTGTCATTCCTTCAGTGTCGATGTGACCTCTGCTACTGCTGTCGTTCCTGCAGTATCGATGTGACCTCTGTTACTGCTGTCATTCCTTCAGTGTCGATGTGACCTCTGCTACTGCTGTCGTTCCTGCAGTATCGATGTGACCTCTGTGACTGCTGTCATTCCTTCAGTATAGATGTCTTCTCTGCTACTGATGTCGTTTCTTCAGGATCTATTTCTCCTCTGCTACTGTTGTCGTTCCTTCAGTCTCTGATACTGTTGTCGTTCCTTCAGTATATATGTCTCCTCTGCTACCGTCGTCGTTTCTTCAGTATCTATGTCTCCTCTGCTCCTGTTGTCGTTCCTTCAGTATCTATGTCTCTTCGGCTATTGTTGTCGTTCCTGCAGTATCTATGTCTCCTCTGCTACTGTTGACGTTCCTTCATTATCGATGTCTCTTCTGCTCCTATCGTCGTTCCTTCAGTATCTATACCTCCTCTGCTACTGTTGTCGTTCCTTCATTATCGATGCTTCCTCTGCTACTGTCGTCGTTCCCTCAGTATCGATGTCTCCTCTGCTACTGCTGTCGTAACTTCAGTATCGATGTCTCCTCTGCTACTGTTGTCGTTCCTTCAGTCTCTGATACTGTTGTCGTTCCTTCAGTATATATGTCTCCTCTGCTACCGTCGTCGTTTCTTCAGTATCTATGTCTCCTCTGCTACTGCTGTCGTTCCGTCAGTATCGATGTCTCTTCTGCTACTGTCGTCGTTCCCTCAGTATCGATGCTTCCTCTGCTACTGTTGTCGTTCCTTCAGTATCTATGTCTCTTCGGCTATTGTTGTCGTTCCTGCAGTATCTATGTCTCCTCTGCTACTGTTGTCGTTTCTTCAGTATCTATGCTTCCTCTGCTACTGTTGTCGTTCCTTCAGTATCTATGTCTCCTCTGCTCCTGTTGTCGTTCCTTCATTATCGATGTCTCTTCTGCTACTATCGTCGTTCCTTTAGTATCTATACCTCCTCTGCTACTGTTGTCGTTCCTTCAGTCTCTGATACTGTTGTCGTTCCTTCAGTATATATGTCTCCTCTGCTACTGTCGTCGTTTCTTCAGTATCTATGTCTACTCTGCTACTGTTGTCGTTTCTTCAGTATCTATGCCTCCTCTGCTACTGTTGTCGTTCCTTCAGTATCTATGTCTCCTCTGCTACTGTCGTCGTTCCCTCAGTATCGATGTCTCTTCTGCTACTATTGTCGTTCCTTCAGTATCTATGTCTCCTCTGCTACTGCTGTCGTTCCCTCAGTATCGATGTCTCTTCTGCTACTGTCGTCGTTCCCTCAGTATCGATGCTTCCTCTGCTACTGTTGTCGTTACTTCAGTATCGATGTCTCCTCTGCTTCTGTTGTCGTTCCTTCAGTATCTATGTCTCCTCTGCTGCTGTTGTCGTTTCTTCAGTATCGATGCTTCCTCTGCTACTGTTGTCGTTACTTCCGTATCTATGTCTCCTCTGCTACTGTTGTCGTTTCCTCAGTATCGATGCTTCCTCTGCTACTGTTGTCGTTGCTTCAGTATCGATGTCTCCTCTGCTCCTGTTGTCGTTCCTTCAGTATCGATGTCTCCTCTGCTCCTGTTGTCGTTCCTTCAGTATCTATGCCTCCTCTCCTCCTGTTGTCGTTCCTTCAGTATCGATGTCTCTTCTGCTACTGTTGTCGTTCCTTCAGTATCTATGTCTCCTCTGCTGCTGTTGTCGTTTCTTCAGTATCGATGCTTCCTCTGCTACTGTTGTCGTTGCTTCAGTATCGATGTCTCCTCTGCTCCTGTTGTCGTTCCTTCAGTATCGATGTCTCCTCTGCTACTGTTGTCGTTCCTTCAGTATCTATGCTTCCTCTGCTACTGTTGTCGTTCCTTCATTATCTATGTCTCCTCTGCTACTGTTGTCGTTCCTTCAGTATCGATGTCTCCTCTGCTACTGTTGTCGTTCCTTCAGTATCTATGCTTCCTCTGCTACTGTTGTCGTTCCTTCATTATCGATGCTTCCTCTGCTACTGTCGTCGTTCCCTCAGTATCGATGCTTCCTCTGCTACTGTTGTCGTTACTTCAGGATCGATGTCTCCTCTGCTCCTGTTGTCGTTCCTTCAGTATCTATGCCTCCTCTCCTCCTGTTGTCGTTCCTTCAGTATCGATGTCTCTTCTGCTACTGTTGTCGTTCCTTCAGTATCTATGTCTCCTCTGCTGCTGTTGTCGTTTCTTCAGTATCGATGCTTCCTCTGCTACTGTTGTCGTTACTTCCGTATCTATGTCTCCTCTGCTACTGTTGTCGTTTCTTGAGTATCGATGCTTCCTCTGCTACTGTTGTCGTTCCTTCATTATCTATGTCTCCTCTGCTCCTGTTGTCGTTCCTTCAGTATCTATGTCTCCTCTGCTGCTGTTGTCGTTTCTTCAGTATCGATGCTTCCTCTGCTACTGTTGTCGTTCCTTCAGTATCGATGTGACCTCTGCTACAGTTGTCGTTCCTTCAGTATCACCATGCATGCCTAACCTGGCTGCTTGTACCTGATATTACCGCCCATACTCGACCTTACTATCCTTGCCTTTTTTGACATGACCTTACTATCTTTGCCTGATCTAACCGCCCGTTTTTCCACCCTTGTAATAACTTAAAAACAGAAACAACGGCATCAACACTCATTGATGAAAAACAGAGACAGGGGATATACAAAAACATAAGGGAAACCCATAGAGCCTCTGAAATAAATTCAAATTCCCCAAAACTTGTTTCCGCTATAGCTTTTCTTAATTATCCCATCGTTGAAATATGCCAATATTGAGCTATTTTTCAATAAGTATCTGATAGGACGCATACATATATATTCCAATTAAACTATACAGTGAAAGGCGTATTCTTTCCCATCAGTGTCAAAAAGACCAAAGCGTTATACAAAAGACAGACATTTATTAAATTTCAACAAGGTGTCATTGCACATAATAAGGAATGATTTATTTTTTTCACAAAAATATATGTAAAATACATATTGATATACATTTCCATGACATGATTTACAACAAGTTGTTATTTACAAAGGAATCAAAATCAAAATTTAGAACAAATGACAGTAAAAGTTATAGGTAGGGCGTCAACAAAAACTAATCACTAAATTAATAAATTCTGTTTTCACAAAACGTTTAGCGGAATGTTTTGAACATAGAAGAAAGGGACAAAAATGAATATCATTGACAACGGTCTGAAGCGAAATTCTGATTTTATTTTCTTCCGAACCATCGCATCCCCTGGTCTCGGCTTCACGTTTTCCCAACTCTCGTTTTTGATCACGTGGAAACAGCATTAGGCCTACTCCCATTCATATCCCTGAAACAATTAGAGGACGGATTTAAACACTGGTAATGTATTTTGATTCTTGCTATTTCTGCTGACTTTTTTGGAAGATTGGTCTGAGTGGTGTTTTTCACAAGGAAATTAAAATGAAAACAGTTAAAATTAATATCAAATGTGACATGTACAAACATGAGTATATCACAGATCAAGTAATCGATACACGTGCCTTTAAAATAATCGTCACCAAGGAGAAGACGTAACACTGTACAATCAACACGTCTGGCCTTCTTAATAATCTAAAAACGATTTTCTCCTGAAATCAGCATATTTCAGACAAATATGTTGTACCACTAGCGTCGGTAAAACGCTTCTTAGTCTGGAAGTGGTCTTTATATCCGCCGCAATCTTTTGATACAACACACATGGAACCTTGAGAGATATTCATTATGGGAAAACATGGCTGTGTTCAGTCTGTAAAGCAACACAAAAGATGAAAACGCCATTGTATATGCTTAGGAGTCGTGCATGTTTACCGATACTGGAACAGAATCAAGGAATACATTCAAGAGTTTCTGTATATGGACGCTGATTAAATCAGATGTACAGTATGGGCATAATGGAATCACAGGCCGAAAACAAGGCACCGCGTATCACTGAAATTGGTATACTTAGCAGGCCGCCAAATCAATAGGAAGGGTCAATTTACGGTCTATCGTACTGGTAAATAACTCCTGACTCGATCACCACGATATTAAATACGTCTCCAGTGGTGTAAGGTTTCGATATATTCCATCAGAGATGACGAAATGACAGACTTTAAACAAGATAAATGATAGTGACGGTCTTAATTGGTCCCGCCACGTATATACGTATAACATGATCCAATCAAAGGGTTGACCTTGTATTAAGGTAGAATACTAATTTAGAATGCTTTGATTCCTGCCTGAGATGTCTCGGGCACGTACGTCGCCTTTCCTTTTGGATATGGAGAATGATAAAATGATAACATTATATACTATATCCACAGAGAAGGACATCAAAATTGTCATTTGACAAAAGAACATGCGTTTTTAATAACATTTAGTTCCTTAAAGATCCTTTATTATAAATTCTGCTAGCACACATGCAAATGATTCAGTTACGTTGACAATTGCCTAAGAAATATTGTGCCAACTACTATAATAGCTTTAGTTTCCCAACATATGGACAACCTTGTACATCGTGTGTATTCACATAGTCCCAACACGTTACCTCCACAGCAACATAAAATAAACATGTTCACAATATACAAACAATCATTTATAATAAATACAAAGCCGCTCAAGTAAACAACGGTAGGTCACGCGTTATGTCCATAAACCACATGCGGCGTACTCGTCCGAAATTTGTATTCCGTATTCATCAATCCCAGTGATTGAAAGCGAGAAGATGCCATGGAGACAATGAGTGTGGTTTGACGTCATTGAACTTTATAATATGATACTAGAACGCGCATCTAACACATAAAACTATATAGTTCGTGTATGCTCACTAACAGTCCTAGACAAAAGAAATGCCCCCACTCATTGTTTTCTTCACACTAAAACGTTTTGGTGTCCTTCTTCTACGTGACTATCATCGTTAACGCAAATATCCCAACGCACGCAAGACGCAAGCATTTCCGTTTTTTCCGACCTAGAAGCTAGTTATACGCAGATCTGGTTTGATTTATGTCTCGTACACATGTAGGAGCCGCGCAGTCGCCTCTGATAGTCCGGAGTAGTGCCACGTATTATCTGGTATTCACAGGAACTAACAGGAAAATAAAACTTTTCTTCATATACAAATTCGATAACCATAACATTGAACTTAGATTCAGCTACATGTACAATTATGTACGTAACATCAAGAAAAAGCAATTACCTACTGGAAACACTATCATGTTGTTAACGAGCGGAATACTAAACAATTAGATAAATCACGAAGAAATGGAAGCAGCTATTAAAAAAATTAAGGCTATGACTCAAGATAAAATATTAACACCGCAACGATACCAAAACAGTAAAAAACGAAAAACAAATTTAAAGAACCTTTTAAAAAAAAAAAAGTCCGTGTAAATCTTTTTTTTTTACACTATTGATAGAAAATGAAAATACAAATGTAGTAATGCACCTCCAATATGTCTGTGCATCTTATGGCTGATAAGAAATAGAATCTCAATGTGACTGTGTGCATAGAACCACAATATGGGTTTTCAATACCGATATTTAAAGATAGATTCCTATATAAATTTAGAGCGTTAATCGTTCTGGTGTCTTCATGAAAAAGCATTTACATGCCGAACATTTAATAACACTCAGTAAAATAGACAATGTCGACCATAATATCGCGATAGAGAAAATTATTTGACACAATCGATTTTTTACTTACGCTAATTATTCGTCCTTGCCATTTTATTTAATCGAGTTTTATACTAGAAAAACATTGAATGTTTTGAAAGTTTTTTTTCCCCAATAAATGCGAAAGCCTCCTACGTCACTAGCCGCCAAGGTTATGCTACAAGGCCTCCAAATAACACTTTTCCAAGTAGATGTAAGCTCTGGCGCCCGTTTGGACCAATCAGACGCTCATATACATGCTGCTTACTACTTAAACATGTTCATTGAATCGTTTTAAATCACATTGGGTAGATCTACTGGCATAGCTGAATTGTTTGTTTCCAATTTCTTGCTAGCTTGAGAGACAGTGAGAGACAGCTTGTGTTAAAGCTTGGCTGACGAAATGCTTTGATGGCATAAATGGTCGGCCTTAACATTCTGAATGAGTCGTAGCTCGTGTAACTTCCCCCACTTTTTTGGAAAACGATTTTATACTCTTTCCACAACGATGAAAAATAAAAAAATAAAAAAATAATTCCGATCTGTCCTTGAACCAATTTTAAGGCAAATCATTGAATGGCTATAGGTTTAATTGTCAATAGTCAACTAATACGTTACGTTAACAAGAGGCCCAATGGGCCTGCATTGCTCACCTGGTATAAAACTCACACTTGTAACCTTAAAAGTGATCTAAAATAAAGCTACAGGCAAAATATCAGTATTTATGATTAAAATTCGTTCAAAAGACCCTGTTATTTTTTTTTTAAACATTTCACACCTGTGAATGAAAGTCGAACAAAGTCATTATGTTGAACACATTGTATAGCCTTTCATCTCAGGATTTAACTTGCAAAGTATAAACATCCTGGGACCCATGGTTATTCATAAGAGGTTGTTTAAAGATTTTAAACAAATTTGACCCCTGTGACCTTGAATATAAGTCAAAGTCATTCACTTTAACAAACATAGTAGTCCTTGATCCCAGCATATGCTACTAACTAAATATCAACATCCTGAGCCTTTTGGTTATTCAGAACAAGT